CCTGTAGTAACTAGACCTGTAGTAACTAGACCTGTAGTAACTAGACCTGTAGTATCTAGACATGCAGTATCGACCTGTAGTAACTAGACCTGTAGTATCTAAGCCTGTGTGCAGCGCTGCACCAATAACAGGAAGCAAGGAGTTGAACATTTACATGAAGCTTATGGGCTCAGTCTGAAATACAAACACACACAAAACAAAAATCAGAGGATGTGGGTCGTCTGTGGCTGAGTGGTTAGAGTCGTCCTCCAGTGCGAGAGTTGGGGGTTCGAATCCACCAGCAGTCAAATGTCGAAGTGTCCCTGGGCAAGACATTGAACTCCTCATTGCCTCTGATGTGTGTCCCATCAGTGTATGAATGTGATCTAAAGCTCTGATTAGTCTCTTTAGAATGATTTGCTCAATTAGCTTTGTAGAGATCTAGAAGAGTGCTGTATGAATGGGTAAATGAGGCACAGATTGTCGTGTAAAGCACTTCGAGTGTCTTCATAAGATAGAAAAGTGCTATATAAATGCAGTCCTTTTACCATTTACCATTTCAGGTCATAGGTTACGGCTATGATGTCATCAGAAGGTTGTGTTTTGGTAATCTACATGAAAATGCAAGGGTGGCGTGTCAAAATCTTTTCCATTTGGAATCCATTAAAAAAGAAAATGTTCTGGGGTTCCTATAATTCTGTGTTTTGTGGACATTAGGCTAAAACAATAAACAACGTGTGTTCTCATAAAACCTCTCTTGGGAAGGCCCCTTGGATAAAAGGGGACTTCTTAGGCTTGATCCATAAAGCTGGCTTTCCTGTGTAACACCATCACTTTGTTTGGACAAGTTTTGTCCTCCAGTACCACCTGTCAGCCACCTGTAATGCTGTCCAGACGTCCCTTTTTGGACAGATGGGCGGGAGTGTCTACAGCATGATGGGTTATCAACAGGACAGAGACCGACTGCGTCAGGTTTCTGAAACTGTTTCCTCAGTTTAATAAATACCAGTTGTTACGTTTGGGTTAGTAGGTCTCTACGTGCAGCAGGTGATTTTTGATGGGTTTGATTTAAACATGAAAACAGAAGTCAACACAACACATTGACGATATTAGCCTCTTTTTGAGGGTGCTCACCCCTAAATTTTAACTCGGCACCCCTGAAAAATAAAGAAACCATCATTAGGATTTTTTAAAGAAACTCATTTCTCAAACCTCAGATTCACCAAAATATTTAATAAATATGGAATAAATGATGACAAACGGGCCAATACAATCTATGACTTTTTTTTTTTGCACGAGTCAGATCCTCTACACCACCTGTCAATCAATCCAGTAGGCTCGTCAGCAACCGACCAATCGGTGACCTGTTTGCCCTGAAGTGAAACGCCCCTTCCCTGCAGGAGCTCGGGGGTGGAGAAGGTTGTTGCCTGAGAGAAATGGAGCGTTACATCTGTAGCATTTTAGCTAGCATGTCTGCACTGTGTGCCTCAATACAGTTGTCAGCATTTGTTGACCGGTGTGGAGGAGGAGGAAAGTGTTAGGATGCATGAGAGAAGCGGACATTGCTCTACTCACACAAGGAGAGCTGTTGGTCAGGCTACTTCTTGTTGCTCTCTAGAATAATTATTGAATCAAGTGTTTATTTGTGAAGGTAAACATATATGTTTAACAACCTGTTAAAATACTCCAGAATGCAGGAAATGGCATCTACTTTATTAAAAATGTTCTGGATGACCCCCAGACACCCCCACATTGCAAATTATTCTGACACCAATAGCCACCGCATTGTTAAGCCAAGAGCCATTGTCAGCACAGGGGGCTAAGCAATCATGAAGGCCATCTTGTGTCAAAAACTCTAAGAAATTGGTTTCTCAGATCACACCATTGGTTGGTTCTCTTAATCTCTTAACTATCTTTCATATTGGAGGCAATGTGTTAAACATAATGGTATTTCCTCAAGTTATCTAACAGTCAACAATGGTGTACCACAAGGCTCAGTCTTAGGACCCACCCTCTTTACAATCTACTGTACATAGGTAATATAGGTTAGGGCATCCCTGAAGCATCCTTACATTTCTATGCTGATGAAACAGTTGTTAATTGTCGAGTTAAAACAGTTGCTAAGGGTTTCCAGCTTTTGCAATTTGCCTTCAACATCATCCAGTCAGATTTGTTTCATCTCAAACTTGTCCTAAATGCCGACAAAACCAAAGGGATGCTTTTTTAAAAACAGGAAGTCAGTCCCAGCAGTTCTTCCTCTGATTTTATCCGTAAATGGTGTCCCTACTGAGTTTGTCGATTCCCATAAATATTTGGGTATCTTGGTCGACTCGCATCTCTCTTTTAAGCTTCAGGTGGAAAACCTAGTCAGGAAATTGAAAGTTAAACTGGGTTTCTTTTTCAGAAATAGATCCTGTCTAACTCTAAATGCTAGGAAACACCTTGTAACTGCGACTTTCCTTCCCTCCATTGATTACAGTGACATTATTTACATGAACGCTCCTACAAGCACCCTGCAGATGTTGGATGCTGTCTATCACGGTGCACTAAGATTCATAACTGGCTGTGATTATCGTACCCACCACTGCACCCAGTATTCACTGGTTAACTGGACATCATTAACTTCACGCAGACTCTCACACTGGTACATTTTCATCTTTAAATCACTTCTTGGTCTGCTGCCTTCATACATCTCCTCCTACATGTCTCTGCGTGAGTGCAGCTACAGCGTGCGCTCTCAGGACATTATTACCTGCAGTGTTCCCTCAATGAGGACTGAACTTGACAAAAGGGCCTTCTCCTACTCCACTCCTGTTTCCTGGAATATCTTATAAAAAGATCTGAAGCTCTCGACCTTGACCTCTCTAAGTGTCTTTAAGAATCTGTTGGACTCCTGGCAGAGACCAATGCAGACATGTTCCTGTTTTTAGTTTTCTACATTCGCCTTAGAATCTAGTTGTTGTTTTTTTTACTTTTTTTGCCAAATTATTTGTTAAAAAAATCTGTATGCCTTTTGACAACTGTCTATTGTTGTCGCTGTTGTCCATTGTTGTCATCATTTGTTGAAATCAGGTCTCTCTTGTGAATGAGTCCTCGAGGATCAATGGGATTTACCTGTCTACATAAAGGTTGAATGAATGTCTAGGAATATATGAGTCGGCATGACTCAGGAGAGTTTTTGTCACCAAGTTATTTTGAAGACACTTTCTAAGAACTTGGTCAGCTAAAGGATTTATCTACTTTTTATGTTGAAAGTACAGTAAATATTATTCCTGTGAATGTGTCCAACGTTACAGCTTCACTGAACCCAAATAAAAATGTAATAAAATTCTCTAACAGACTGAAAATCAGTGCAAACGTTTTATTAAACTAATGGAAATGTTTCCTTCAACACCTGGTTAAAGCAGCTCTAGATGTTCTGGTCATCCAACAAACATCTGAAGGTTTGCGCCGGTTTGACTTTTGTTGTTAAGAAGAGAAATGTCTTTAAGATCTAAAGAATAAATTCACTTGACTTTAGTTTAAGGTCTCAAGATTATTAGGACTTAGAAGGGGATTCCTAATGATTTTATCTGTTTGTTTGTCTCATTCTGTTGTTGTTGTTTTTCTAACAGGTGGTCGTCTGAAGACGTCATAGGAGTCACTGGGCATTAATCTCCTCCACCTAACCCGAGATTAAAACTGATTTTCTAGGCCCAGAGACAGGAGATCCTGGACTAATTACTCTGTTGGAAGCTCAGTCCCTCCCGGGGAGGGCACAGGTTCAACAGTGGGATGTGCTGCGAGGCTCCAACTGATTAGGTGCAGAACCTGCAAGATGAGAGTGAAAGAAAACAACTGTTGAGAAAAACCGAGGCGGAGATGAGCTCACCGCGTGAAACGAGTTGCAGCTGTGCTCCAATCCCAAACAAAGCTCCTGGATGTCAATCTGATGTTTGTCTCATGAATCCTAATTTTCTGTGATTGACACCACAGCCTGCAGCTGACACTGTGCTGTCCTTAGATGAGGGTGCAACAGCTGCAATGTTCAGCCGGCACATCTGCCTCCTCTTGATTAAATCTCAGCACTTCATCGGTCTTTGCTCCGCTGTCCCCTGACCTCCGCTCATCAACTAGTCTCCTTTCTTAAACTCTGTCCTCCTTTCATCTCTTCACCACTCCTCACCGCCCCCTCTGATCTCTGCCCCACCTCTCAAACATCCATGATCCATCTCTTTCATTTCATGTCATACTCCACGACTCAGTCTCAGCTTCCCAGGAGATGGTTTAGCATCTTACCTGACTGATCTGGGTCTTGTCATGGAAACCCCCACATTCCTCTGACTCTCATTCCAGTTTGTCACCAAACCTGAGATCACTTTCCCAGTAAAAGCATCGGTCACCAGTCCCACCACCTGTCAGGCTTCTTCTCTGGCTGTTAAGTCAAAGAGCAACGATGCTGGAGAAAATGTCCAGGCGAAACCGCACCTTGCTCTCGCTGGGTCTCACCTCCTTGGCTCTCACTTTGTCGGTGTCGGCTTTCTGCACCTCCTACTGGTGCGAGGGGACGCACAAAGTGGTGAAGCCGGTCTGCTTGTCACCAGTCAAGATGAAAAACTGTGGGAAGAACAACAGCCAGCCGTATACAGGTGAGGATGACAAACACTGCCAACTCACTTTTTTAAAAACTTATTTTCCAGCTTTAAATAGGTTTCCATTCCATCCCTCCTTTTTATTTTGCTTCAAAGGAGATAGTTTCATCTTTTATTTTTTCAAAGGGGTCTTGATCAGTAGTTCTCCAGTGATCAGTTGATCATCTGCTTCAATCCAAAATCATACTTGCCATTATAAATACACAGTTTTCTGTGAGTTTATGTATTTTTCATAGTTTCATATGGTAATAAACTGTTTCTGTGTAACAAGCAGGGCCTAAAGAAGTCAGGATAAAGGGTTTCTTGAATTATTTGTTGCACAGTTTAAAAACACTGGCTCATCCCCTGAGCTCAAGAGTCTTTTTATGCTTGAATATTTAATAGGTCAGAGTTAACTGGTTTAACAGAATGGTTTGTGATCTGGGTGGCCAAATACTTCTTTAAAAAGTCTTCAGTTGATCCAAAATGCTGCTGCCAGAGTCTTAACTGTTAACGGTTTTAGTTTCTCTCCACTGGCTCCCTGTCAAGTCCAGAATAGAATTCAAAATCTTACTAACCTACAAAGCCCTCAACAACCTAGCTCCATCTTATATTACAGATCTTGTTATTCCATATTTTCCTAACAGAGCACATCGCTCTCAGACTGCAGGTTTACTCGCGGTTACTAGAGTTTCCAAAAGCAGAATGGGAGGAAGATCTTTCAGTTCTCAGGCTCCTCTCTTGTGGAACCAACTTCCAGTTTCTGTCGGTGAGGCTGACACGTTGTCCAGTTTTAAGACTGGACTTTAGACTTTCTTTTTTGATAAATCTTATAGTTAGGGTTGGCTTGTTATGCTGCTGTAGGCTTAGACTAATAGAGGACAAATTGACCTCATTTCCTTAAATAAATTATTAAAATTGAATAGTTTTCATTTAATACTATTTCTATCTTAACATGTGATTCTTGACCTGCCATTGTGTAGCTATTCCTACCAAACCCAGCTGGTCGAAGCAGATGGCCACATGTCCTGATCCTGGTTCTGCTAAAAGTTTCTTCCTCATGAGGGAGTTTTTCCTTTCCACTGTCGCCTTCATGCTTGCTCAAGATGAGAGTTCTGTGATGGAGTTAAACTTAAAGCTGCTCCTCAGATAAATAATGTCAAATTATTATTTTAAAATATGAACGTTTCTGTTCAGTGCCCTGAGACGACTTCTGCTGCGACTTAGCGCTAAATAAATAAACAAACATGAAAAAAACTTCATGCTGCACTTTAGCCACAAAAATAAACCCAGTCTGTAACAAAATCTTTTTCTATTATGTTTGTATTCTGCAATAATGTGTATTGTACCACATTTATTAAATCAAGATTTTTTTTATTCCAATGTTTGTATTTGTTGGAACAGCACTTTACTTTTATATTTGATGCTTTGTGATTAAATTGGGAATTATTGCATTTTCTGCCCCGTTTGCTCCAAATATTGAGCATATTTAAGTTTCGGGTCCAGAGTGACCTCATTCAAACACTATAACAAGACACAAGCTTATTATATGACACAAAGTCATACCCAGCAGCACAGTTCTCTGACGCAGAACAATAAAAAAAACTCTAAATGCCACAAATATCTTCAACTATCCTGAAGGTGTGTGACCTCAATCACGGCAGCTTGAAGCTTTCCATTTTAAACATTTTTCATAAAAGATTCACATAATCCCAGCTTTGTTCTAATCTCAGCTGCCGCAGTTTTTCTGGGTTCTTTAACCTTCTATCTGGTTTTCGGTGTTAAGCCCATTTGTAATAAAAACAGCCCAGATGACTTAAAGAACGATGCTTCAGAGCCAGATTGTGTTACACGCTGCGGAGGAGACACAGTTTGTGTTTATTGTTTCACGGTTCTTATATTCCTGCGCTTATTCTCTCTTTTTTAAATTTATTCTCAAAAAGTTAAATGTCTGAAAACAAGCTTGTTTTATTCTGCTCTTTACTTCGCTTCTACTTTCTGTCTTTCATTTATTTTGGTGACACTCATCACTACCTGTTTCATCCAGAGGCTCCCACCTCGGACCCCAAAAACCCGATCCCCAACGTGACGCTGTCTCCGCAGCAGAAAGAGGAGCTGGCTCTGCTTAGGAAGAAGCAGCTGGCCAACGCCGTCCATTACCTGTGGGAAACCGGCGAGGACAAATACATGCTGAGATACTTCCACACCGGATTCTGGCTCTCCTGTGAACAACACAATGAAGGTTGGTGACAACTGGAGCAGAAGGTCTGAAATAAAATCCCTTCAAGACTGAACCACTGGAAAAATTCACTGACGCAACGTCTGATCACTTAATAAAATAAAAAAAAACTATTATAAATGAGCAGATTTTTATTAAATTGTGTCTTTTTACTGTTAAATATATTCATTAAAACTAGACCAGGACTATTCAACTGACGGTCCGGGGGCCAAATCAGGTCCATGGGTGAGCTCAGTTCGGCCCACCAATGGGCTCATTTTAAATAAAACGACATTTTAAACCATAAAACAAACTTAATGACAACAACTGCTGGATGCCTTGGCCCTGAGCTCTTTCAGTAAGTGTGGCCCCCTGCAGCCCCCTGAGCCATTTGGTTGAACAGCCCTGCACTAGGCTAATCCAGGAAGCATGATAACGATCAGCAGCTGTCTTTATGTCTCTGTTTTTGTTCTCAGGTGATGAGCAGGAGGAAAGATGTCGCAGCTTTATCGAACTGACTCCAGGAGAGACACAAGGTTGGTGCAGTACCAATTATTTACACCAGAAGGAAAAACAGAGCAAGTCATGAAGTCATTGTGACAAGCAAACTATAAAAGTGATGCACCCCCTCCCCCGACTCCCGCCTCCAGGTGTGCTGTGGTTTTCCGTCATCAGCGAGTTCATGTACATCGGGCTGCTGGCGATGGGTTTCCTGCTCATGTGTGTGGAAGCAATGTGCCTCTGTGCAAAGAAAGAGATGGGTTCTTTGAAAATCAATGCCTACGCCGCCATGTGCACCATTCTGTCAGGTGACAACAGCCCACGCTTTCTGCAAAGTAGACACATTTGTGTCAGTGACGTTCCGTTTGTTTGCGTTTCATATACTTCACCTGCTTCGTTCAAACTCTCTGACGGTCTCAGTTGTCTGAGAGTTGTTTGTTTGTATCTCTTCATCCTTTACACACTCCTATAAAATATAAATACGTGAGTTCTGTGCACAAATTAGGAAGAATGAGACAAATGCAGAGACGTCTTACAATATTTGACTGTTCGTTCCACCAGTAGGAACAGACCAGACCGTACAAAATAAAAACGAGGTTTTTGTTTTTATCGTTTTAGTTCTGAATAATTAAAAGTAAAGTTGGAAATGTAGCTGTGTAAAGATATTTTTTTTACCCATATCTTAATTTATAACTTAATAAATTGGAGTAAATATACATTTAAAAGTCACTTCAGTGTATATTTAGATATTTAATGTTTTGTCCTATTAAATATGGATGCTCAGTATATTTTAAATCACATTTTAGCAATAAACATGTCTTATAGAGAATATTTAAGAGAGATTATCAGTACATATTACTCCGTTCATAACAAAACACCAATATGACCAAAGATAGTTTATGTTACTGTTATTCACACCAGACTCCATGTTCAGTATGAGTTTTATATTTTTACGTTATTAATGAATCCATCAGCAATGACTGATGTACGTGTAGATGTGAATGCTTTTATCTTTTCCTTTAGCATCAAATGAGCAAAATGATTTTATTTGTTCATGTTTTACAAGAACATTCTCAAAAAAATAAACAACTTTTGTTTTATATATTTTATTTTAAATGTCATCTTTTGATTTATAAATTTAATTGAATGTTTTTCTTCCTGCTCGTCAGGCATGATGGGGATGGTAGCGCACATGATGTACTCCACTGTGTTTCAGATGACCGTTAGCATCGGGCCGAAGGACTGGAGGCCTCAGTCCTGGGACTACGGGTGGTCGTTTGCGTACGTTAGTTTTCGTTACTTCAAAAATAAATATGAAGCATCAAATGTTAAACATCCAATCTGGATCCAAGCTCAAAACTGTGATTGCAGTGATACCTCCATCTTTTCTACTTTATGCTGTTAGCTGTCGGGTCACCATTTTATCAGCATGAACTCTACTGCACCGTACAGCTGTTATACTTAAATATTACTGTTTGTTAAACGTCCCTGTGTCCGTTGGTTTGTTCAGACTTTTCAATAACAAAATATTTTACTAAACTGCATGAAGACCAAGCTCAGTTTGTCCTCTTGTCTCTTTCTGCCGCCTAGCTTAGCATGGCTGTCCTTCAGCTGCTGCATGGCAGCTGCTGTGGCAACGCTCAACTCCTACACCAAGACCATCATTGAGATGAAGCACCGGGCCAGGCTGAGGCTGGAGGAGGCCCGTGCTGCCACCATCGCCCCCTCCTATGAGGAGGTCGTTCAAGCCGGAGGAGGAGGGATCTACTCCGTCAGTCAGCTGATGACACTAGGACAGCAGGGGGTGCTTGTAGATCCCATGTGGCCCAGGGGCGTGGGACCGGCGGTCGGACCTTTGACAAGCAGCGCTGGGGGAACGTCGTTAGCTGGAGGTGGAGGAATTGGAGCTGGCGGCACTGGGACGGGAATGGGAGGAGGTGGGGGAACAATGGGAGCAACAGGAGGAGCCGGAATGGGAGCGGGAAGGATGGTGGACTCTCATGGTGTGGTGGTTGTGGAAGGATGTGAAGACTGCGAGCGGGAGATGGATGAGATCGACTACACTCTGCAGGACGAGCGAGAAGACTCGGTCTGCTAAGGCTCAGTGACACACGTGGAATTCAAACGCCACAAGACTTGAACAAGAACACCTTCACAACTATTGATCAGCTGCATGTTTGTACAGGATGTTCTTCTTTTTTAGGTTTGTAAATGTTACCTGCAGTCAGGTCTGACTGTGAAGATGAGCTCCACTTTAAGCTCCTTTTGCTCATTAACATCTGAACCGATCAAAACAAGAACTGCAGAACCACCAGGGAGACACAATGGAGCGCCGCAGCCTTCGGTCCTCATGCATACTCACCAACTCCACCCTGTGACTTCTTCTGGTGCTGGCTTAGAGGCGAGTCAGCGGCGGATCGGCTTTATTTCCCTTCAGTCGTGTCACATCAGTCACCGCTGCAGGGAGAGGCGTCTCAAACGCAACTTTAAAGAGTTTTGTGAAAGGCTCTTCAGTTTTATGGCCACTGGGGTCAGAAAAAAAAATCATAAACTAGATGAAGCTTTATTTCCATGTCTTGTCTTGTTACAACAGCAACATCATGATGTTTTAAGTCTGAGTCCATCATCCAACTTTTTTTTTTTTTTCAAATTCAACAATGTGCATTAAGAAAAAATAAAAGTAATATTAAAGATGCTAAAACCTGAACAGAAAAATGTAAATTTATGTAACGTTTCAGTTAGCTTCAATTAGCTTCAGTTAGCTTCAATTAGCTTCCGTTAGCTTCAATTAGCTTCAGTTAGCTTCAAATAGCTTCAGTTAGCTTCAATTAGCTTCAATTAGCTTCAGTTAGCTTCAATTAGCTTCAATTAGCTTCAATTAGCTCTAATCTGATTCTTCTGGGGGGGTGTTTGTTTCATGACTGAATGCATGAACATCATAAGCCACAAATAAAACCATTAACATTTATAAAGTCAAGGTGTCGGTGGTGCCACTCGGTGCTGTGTGAGTCCAACAGAGCCGTGCAGGAGCAGCTGATGTTTTGCACAGTTCCCACACTTCTGGTAGAGAACCCAAGCTTGATGTGGGAGTTGGGTGTTTTATTTATGAAGTGTTTGTGTGAAGTAATATGGTAATAAATACACAGAAAACATTTTGCTCCTTGTCTCATCAATCAAACAACCTATATA